CACACATACATGCACACATACAGGAGATACAGGAAGGGGGGTGGGGAGGGAGAGAAGAGCAGTACAAAAGTATACCTTATGGCGATATCTTCTCAAAAAACCTGAGGCTGCACACCTTCCTGCCCAACCGTAGTTTAAGAAACAGGAAGCCCTGGTCGATTAAAGAGTTAAAGCTAGCCCCCGTTAGAGTTAAAAGCGCGTCGTGGGTTGGTTTGCAAACCACTTTTTAAGGCGCTGCGTCTTTTAGGTCTGCGGCGCGTTCTCAGTTCTCTCTCTCTCTCTCTCTCTCTCCACCTCCCTCCCTCCCCCCTCCCGCTTCGCCTGCTCCGTCCGCTTCCAGTCCCCTCCGCCCGTCTGTACCTGCCGAGCGGCGCTCATTCTGTGCAGCCTCTGCTCTTGCCGGCGCTGATTGGCCGACGCCCTACCAATCGCGTTTCTGTCAGGGCCAGAGGGAATGCATATGTAAAGCCCTACTTCATATTTATAAGCTCCAATCGGGGCTTTAAGTCCTTGATTAGGAGCGTGTGAGCTTTTGGTCCCAACTGGCTGTGCCCATAGGCTTGTCACCAGGAGAACATTTGTGTTAATTGCACTGTGCCTGTGTCAAGGAAACTTTGATTTATAGCTGGGGTGCACAAATAATGGTTGCCGAGCGCACATGGATTCGGTAGAACTTTGCCTTCCTGAATCTCTTTCCTTGCACTACGAAGAAGAGTAGGTACCTACCATTCTTCTTATACCTCCCCCTTCTGCTTTCCTTTCTTATCCTCCTCCCCCCCCCCCGCACTTTTTCCTTCTTCCTAATGGTGGGGAGGGAAGTAATAATAAAAAATATATATCCAACGTGAAAAGCCGCTTTCAGGTAATGCCTCCTGGCGTCTTGCGTGCATGACTAGAGCTGTATGTGTTCGTCTTGTCTCTTTTGTGCTGTGCTTTATCTGCTAATTCAGTAAGTGGAGGAATTGTTTTTTTTCTCTCTCGACAATGTTACCTTTTGAGTGGGGAGCGGCGTGGCTGTCAGTAAAACAGCTGTGCGAGTGACAGTCATTTCTTATTCAGGTCCTAAGAATAGGCACTTGGCTTGGCCCGAAGACAGAATGAATTGTTTCAGCAGATCTCTCAGAAAGATACATTTCCTTCCCTTCTCCTGCCCGCTTCTCCTGAAAGGAGTGGAAGAAAGCTACCGTCTAAAACAAGATTTAGATAATCTTTTGATCTTTCCTCTTTCTGAGATTTCTTGCCAAGCCCGGTTGGGAGTGGGGGACCAGCTCAAGAGTTTAATCCCACTTTAAGGATAGTGCTCTGTAATTAAGGTTTAATATAAGGCTCCCGTCATTTACTGACAAATAGGTCCATTAAATAGCAAAGGTAGGGGTGCTCTGTGTGTCTATGCATATGTGCATGTGTGTGTGCCACTTGCTCAGCCAACGTGAGCTTTGTTTGCTTTTGATTGCAATTTAAAAACAGCTATTATTCTTTTTTAATGCATCCTATCTAGTAAAATATTTTGTGTAAATAAAAATAAGCATTTGAGGTATATAGCACATTTAATATTATTGACTGCATGCATATTCTCAGAGCTCTGAACTAATAAGTCGAAGGGGAAGAAGGTTCCTAAACCAGTATCACTTCACAACTTTGAGAGCCTGTGAACTTAAATTTGGCCTTAAAAAACCCGACACGGCAGAAGCTGGCAAGGGGCTCAGCCTTAGACTGAATGCATACTATGACAATACTCAGAAGTACCGTAACTGTATTGTAGATATATGGTCACTAGTTGCCATTAGTGTCTGAATGTTAAATTGGTGAGTCACAATTAAATTTGAGAGGGGGGGGGTTGAAAAAAAAAGTGTCTTGAACATTGGCATATGATATAGATACACAAAAAGTATGCCAATCAATGGGTGCTATAATGCTTGGATAAATGGAAGGAGAAAGGATTCCTTATTCACCTGCAGAAGAATGTAAAGAAATTATATTAGAATGGTAATTGAGATGTAGTTTGTAGATCAGTCTGTTGATGTACAGTGTGATTTAAAATGTCTTAATTTGAGGCTAAGTGCAGTTGTCACTGTTCCAACTTGCAATGGCTAGCTTTTTTCTGTGCAGAAGGTGAGAGAGGAAGAGAGAGATTCTAAAGTTAGGAAGATGCTCTTTTTAAAAAGACTTTTCTTGATTTTTTGTTCTTAGAGCTAATTTGAATGATTAATTTTGATAAGCTTCTTAAAGTAGATGCCTTTAAATGAAATCAGAGCATATGCCTTTTTAGCTCTGGTGGAAAGGTCTTATTATTCCTCCCACCTTGCCATAATTAGCTCTCCACTTCCATTTCTCCCTGCCTCCCCCCAATTTAAAAGTCTTCTGGATGGATCTGTGGTTCAGTGGGCAGGCAGAGCTATCTAGTGCCCAGGAACACAGTGGTCTCTCTAGAAGCCAAATATTTCTACAGTTTGTGCTTTAATGTGTATGCATGGGGGGGGGGAGGCTTAGAGTACTTACAGAATGTGGAATGATAAAAATACAGTATGGTTTGAATTCTAGGTAGTCCACATTAAAGAATGCAAAACTTAAAGCCATCTGCTGCCCTTTTCAGAAAATGGAGAGAGTAAATGCAAATAATTTCAAAGAATAGTTAATAAGAGAATGGAAGAGATACGGTAAATGTGCAGATGTATGTGACTTTAAATACTATAAATGAAACTCATCATTACACAAAATCTCATCTAACCTCTGATTAAAATGTATCGTTGGCTAAAGGCTTCTAGCGCAGACTTAATTTTACTGTTTTAACAGTTGTCACAGCTGTTGGAAGAAGGAAAGGCAATTGAAACTACTCAAAAAAGGGCAGAGGGAGGACCTCGCTTAGTACATTTAAACATGATCTCTGAATGCCAAGCATACAAAAGCAAATAGGCTTGTGACTTCAGATATATTTTCTGTTTTGTGTGCTGTTACCTTTTCCTCTGATCCTTTCATTAATTTGAATCCTCAATCTCTATCACACTAATGAAAGTGCAACAGTTCTAAAATGAAACAAATCAGCCATGGATGTTATAGTGTAATTACTTTTAAAGATAAGCAAAGAAACCAGTTTAATAGTAAAGAAGATAAAATGCACAGATGCCAAGAAACTTTGGATGGTTTCAGTAATGAACCCTGATGTCACAATTGAAAAGACAAAAGATGCTTTAGAGTCATGGAACTGAAAACTGGCACATTTTTAGTTTTAAAAGTAGTATTAATTTGAGAGCTGCTATATAGGGTTTTTTCTTGCTTTATTATTATTTAAATAGTTATTAAATGTTATTTTTGTTTTAGTATCCCCTCCTTTGCTGCATTGATCTTAAAATTTGATCCAGAAAGATGAACAATATTTGGTACAGAGGAGGAGGGGTAATTAAGTGAAAAGAAAGTTAAAACTGTTTTGTCACCTCTCCTTATATAAGATCTCTCTATCTAATATAGGTGACACTATTTCTGCCCATCTGTGTTAATATAATATGTAACTCTTACACAAAAATCATTGTCTTTCAATCTAAATATGTATTGTAATTATGTAAGATATTAGCATGGCTGCTGCCTAAATGAGTTTTTTTGGAGGGCTTTTCAAAATGGATCCTTATATATCAACTTAAATAGACTTGTTATAAACTCATTACTAAACTTCCAACTTTGGATTTCTGTTTTTCATACATGTTTTTGGCAATTTTGTTGCAGCTGACAAAAGTGCAAAAGCTGGTGCTGAAAATATCTGACAGTTTTTTTATTTGCTAGGCCTGACTTTTTTTTTTTCTCCAAAGCGGTGGTTGCTCATTTTAATGTGTTTATGGTTCTTGTCTTTTCTTTACTGAGCCTGGTGTGTTCCAGCAGTAATTAACCTGTGTTATTAGCAAAGCCCTTGTGGATATCCATTAATTCTCTTGAATGGATGATCATTTTCCTCCAGTGTTATTTCCTACCTTCCCCCGACATATTATCCTGCTTTAATTTTTTTCGTAAGATTTTTTTTTTAAAAGTACTTAATTTGGAAAATTGATATATTGATGCTTTTGAAAAAAAACAGTAACAAAAACAGCATTCTTGAATAGTTGTGTAAAAAGTATGTCAGACAAGAAGGAAGATTTCAATACATTTTTATTTAAAAAAAAATACCAGTATAAGCTAATTTTTTTCTTATCATTTCTTTATTTCGTGACTATCATAAGTTAGGAGATGAATTTTATTCTTTTCATCTGATCTAAAGTTACTCTAGACAGCAGTTTGTGCACTGAAAGTTAAAAAAAAAAACATATTAAGCCTTCAGAAAAATAATGCTTCCGCTTAGACTGCTGAGGACAGATAAGGACTGCCTCATTAGCCAAAGCCCACTTTTGCAATTATTTAAAAATATATGGAACTATACATCAAACATAAAAGATAACTTGCTTCTGATTATCTTTGTAATTCTTGAAGCCACTTTTCAAAACTGAGCCTAATTGTGTTACATTCTAATAACACAAGGTTTGGTTTGGTTGTTGTTTAAATAACAGCATACAAATAGCTTGGCAAATTTCCTGGTATTGAACATTTCTGATGCACAGTGACCTTTGTCTTGGTGCAAAAACAAATAGAAATGAACAGCACTAATATTTATTGACAGTCTTAAATGAATGCCCTCTTATGAATATTGTTAGCCTGTTACCAATCAGCAAAAATGCTGAATGTTAAGAAATTTAAAGTAAATTGGATATGCTCCTCTAGAAGCTTAAAACAACTTGGTTATTTTCCATGTGGTTTGGATTTTGCTTTATAGCATACACACTAGAGACAAAAACAATAAAATATTGGTCTCTGTCTAGTTCCTCTAGCAAGCTCTCAAGAGGAAATCTGTGATTATACTAGGCTGGTTCGGTTTTTATCTCTTTTACATTCATTGGCCTTGTATTAAATTGTCATTGTCCTAGAGCACATGAGAGAGAAGGAAATGAATTGCACTTCTTGACATTCTCTGACAGTGAAATATTTAACTTCTCTGTCTCCAATCATACTCATATGTACATGTTTGATAGCGCTGGAATGACAACCAGCAGTCCCTGTTAGTTTGACATCCCCATTTTACAAGTTTGCCATCATTTGGGAACCAATTCTCCTTCTGTTTCCCTTTAACACCAGTTTTACTTGGCTGAGGCATATCAGCATCTATTTAAATTGATATAAAACAATTCCACATTTTATCGCAGCTGATAATGGTTGCATAAGCATGTGGTTGCTTGCTTGTGCATGTTTCACTGTTATATCTGTTTGCCTATATTTGTGTGTTATAAACATAGTGTGTGCAAACATTTTTGAAACTTTTTTATCTTAAAAAAATAAACTCTGTAAGAACAATGTAGATATTAGATTGTCCTGATTCTGTCCTTTTTTTTTTTTTTTAAATTGCTGGTGCATTCCTTTAGATAGGTAATTCAGCTGCTGTCATTTTCACATTTATTATTTCGTGGAGCAGAAAGTTTAGGATGTTTATCTTTGCACTTTCTAGATATAATAAAAGACTTCACTCTGCCGACGTGCAATTAGTTTAATATTAGAAGCATTAGAGAAATTGAAAATCCTTTTTTTAAACAAAAAACATTTGTTAATATTCTGATACAACTTTTAACTGTTTTGGTATTCTAAAGAAAATTAATTTTAAGATTTTGCTTGCATTCCTCCAAATTGTAAAGCATAATTAAAAT